TCAGCTGCCTCCTGCACACCTCCTACTGGGGATGTGGCCGCAACCAAGGTACATGCCCTTGACCGGAATAGAACCTGGGACCCTTCAGTCCGCAGGCCGACGCTCTGTCCACTGAGCCAAACCAGTCAGGGCGAAGAGTACTTTAAATACTCTTCATTTGGTATTAGTTTTTTAAGTTATTTTCCTATATTAGGAAATGAAAAATTATATTGCTTTCTTAGGGGACCATATTCTTATAACTGATAGCAAATTGTAAAGAATGTTTAATTCATGCTCTAGGTGGACTCACAGTTTGGGGGAGTTATAGAAAAAAATAGAGATTTTATTCATTTAAATAACATTATGTTTCTTGGCTATAATAGACTAGTAAAATAAAATTTTTGCTACTTATTAGCAAAGATTCATAATCCAATTTTGCTACTTGAAATTATGATGAGAATCAAAAGCAAGTATTTTGGTTACATCTGCTACTAATAAAGTGAGGAATAATAAAAGCTAGGTTTGCATACTGTAAATGAAATGGAAAATTTGCAAACAGATTAGTTCTTGCATACTGAATGAAACTGAGTGGTCCTGAGTCAGCTTGAACAGTAGTTACTTGTGTAAAATTCATTGGACATTGAGACAAACTTTGTTATGTAGCATAAGACCCCATTATGTACACCACATGCATAGAAAATTGCCTAGGAGGAAATAATATTCCAAAACATTAAATAGCCATTGTAAAATGTAGAGTATGGATTTCTTGGGCTTTTAAAAAAATTACTAAATTATTTCATAACTACTGACTATAAAGTTGGCTCATAACTTCATTGTAATAACAAATGGTAACAAAGGAAATGAGTTGTGTTTTAAGGAACCTATTGATACATCCATGTAATAGACAAGCATGGTGTAGCTGAAGGAATAAATTCTGGTTTAAATTCTAATGGCTGTGGCTATGGCGTAGAGGAAATCATTGTCTTAAGAGATGTAGTTTTCTCATCTTTAAATTTTTTTACAATACCTTTCTCTCCCAATATTGGTCATGATTAGAGGTATCATTAATATGTTCCTAGCACTTAGTGGTGCTTAGTGAATGATAAACTCTTAGGTTATTATAAGGATTTACCATCAGTGGAATTTTTTTCAAGTATACTGTAGAAAGCATTTTAAAATACCTCACAAAAGAATTTTCTTTAGAGTTTGGTTTATGGGGTTAGTGTGTATGTGAGAAGGAGAAGGGAGGCTTATGGTGTTTGCATATGTGTGTGAGAGAAAAACAGCTTTTTAGTGTGGGGGGGTGAGAGAGGAAGAATTTTTGGACCTCATTTAAAATATTTTATTCACAGAAATTTAAGTAGCATGCAGTCTTTTAGAAACATTGGCATCCATTACCTTGACTTAAATGCATAGAGGGAACCGTACTAGTTTTCATGGTGGAGAACTTGACGGAACAGGGAAGGCTTGGTCTTTAACTTTGGAAAGAAAAAGAGCCATTAAAAAACGTGTCCAGTCATTAGTAATTTAGTTACTGCATTGCTGCTTTCCATTTAGTTGCTCTCCTGATTGAGATATTAACATTCTTATTTCTCTTTTGTAGGTCTTTAGAACGACTGTTTGAGCGACATATAAGACAAAATAAACACCATTTGGAGGAGGTTTGTTTCCTTAGAACTGCATTATAGAAAGAATTTTAAAGTGTTTCTATACCCTCAGAGAATGCATTAAAAGCAAGTGCTTTTTTCCCCTTGTACTTTGTACACACTTGGGGTGGGTGGAAGGAGAAGTATTGGTCCTGCAGAGATTAGCAGCACTGCAGACAAAAGTAATTCAATTTAACTAGCTTAATTAATGTCCTTATTCTTGCCTTTTTTCTTAATCCTAGGGGAAAATGCGCCACCTGCTGCATATCCTAAAGGTGAATTTAGGCTGCATATCCAAGGAAAGCTCGGTGAAGCTAGATGACTTTGATTTGTTGAATTTACTTGATTTTGAAAAGGCTGAGAATTCAGCACAAAATGAACAAGAGGCCACAATTCAACAGGAGCGTCAGGAATACAGAAAAGCTTTGGATATGTTGCTGTCTGAGCCAAAGGATGAGAATGAGATATTCTCACCAAATGATTTTTACCTACCAATCTATAAGTTCAAGAATTCAGAAGAGGTTATAATTGAACAGGTGAACGAGGAAACAAATCTTAGACCTTCAAGTCAGGATGAAAAAAATCCAAATATTTCTGACAGCTCAGGAGACCGAGAGACCTCTGTGACTATCATTGAAGGTGACAGTGACAGTGAAAAGGCTGAGACTCCAAGTGAGCTGTACTGTCCCAGCACAGCCCTGTCCCCGTCCGTCCAGCTCTGCAAGGTCACGGGTGGCAGCGATCAGGACCTGGAGGAGCCAACTCTGAAAATCATGGCTCTGAGCATTGAGGACAGCCCTGGGGATGTTTGATCTTCATTAATAAATGTCCCAAATGGCCAGTAATTCAATATTTTTTTCCTCTTTTTTTCCTTTTATATAAAGATTTTCTGTATTTTCTATGCTGTATAATAAATTACCATAAATTTAGCAGCTTAAAACAAAACACATGTATTATTTACCCAAGTTTCTGTGGATCAAGAGTCTGAACACAGCTTGGCTGGGTCCTCCACTCTGGGTTTCACAAGGCTGCACCCCAACCGTGAGTCCGGGAAGAACCTGATTCCAAACTTTTTTCAGGTTGTTGGCCTAATTCTGTAACTTGCAGCAACAGATCTGAAAAACTTTGATTTCTTGCTGGCCGTTGGCCATCGGCTGCCCTCAGCTCTCAGAAGCTGCCCACAGTTCCCTGCCACTCGGTGTGGCTTTCCAGCATCTCTGACATAAGAAGCAAGCCACAGGCCCCACCTACTTTTACTATAGAACAGTGGTTCTCAACCTTGGCTGCACATTAGAATCACCTGGGAATCTTTTTAAAATCCTGATTTCTGGGCCTCATCCTCCAGAAATTCTGTGGGTTTTTTTTGTTACTAATGTCCCCCCCATAACAAAGAGACAGAATTTCCGGAGGATGAGGCCCAGAAATCAGGATTTTACAAAGATTCCCAGGTGGTTCTAATGTGCAGCCAAGGTTGAGAACCACTGCTATAGAAGGATGCGGATGCAGAGGTAGGAATCATTGGGGTCACGTTAGGATCTGTCAGCCACATTTCTAAGGTGGTTTTTCAGAGCGTAACTTAGCCAGACATAAGAGGCTTTGTAGACAGTGGGAAATGGTGTATGATCTGGCACGGATCCTGAAGCATTAAGCCTGGTCTACAATATCTTTCATTCTTTTTCTTTTTTTTCTCACTTAACTGTAATATCTAAAGCCTCAAGGCCTTTCTAGTTGCCAGTGAGCTAGAGCAGTCTGTCACTATCTGGAAAATTATCCCTTCTTGTGAGGGCAGATATTCTGTCAGACACCCTCCCCTTATCATTGTAGCTCATGAATGGGATCCTTAATACTGTGTCTCAGGAGACTCATCTCTAGTTAAGTCTTTCAACCACTGACAATAATGTAATTGACTGTCTGAGTGCCTGTTCTATACAAAGTTTCATGCCTAGGCACTGGCAGATAAAAAGATGAAACAGAATAATGACCCAAATGTTCTAGAAACTTAGCAATGGCCTCCAAGAATCCCATTCTTTAACTCAGGCTTTTTATGACCCTTTGCCCACACCAGCATTTCCCAAAAGGTGGTGCATACCACTGGGACTATTAGAGCCGATTTCTGGTGATACATGGATGACAGGTCCATCTCAGGGGAAGCTGACCAACTCCACTGTGCTCAGGATTCAGGCTCAGGGACAAACTGCAAACTACAATCTGATGGGCTGTGTACCCAACCCTCTACTCCATGTCTTCTGTCCCAAGTCACCCTGCTACAGCCCTTCCTCGGTCCCCACCAACCCCCCAGGTCTCATGTCTGGAGTTCTTCCCCTCAGCCCTCTATGGAACCCTCTCCCCATCTTGCAACCCTCTTAAACCTCCTAAAATATCCCCAGCCCTATTCTTGGCTCGCAGCCTGCATCTCCCCTCAATCATTCTGCACCCCTCTAGCCACTTCTTGGACTTCATCCTTCTCTCAGCCCACAGGCTCCTTTCTTCAGTCCCAGCCTCACCCTTTGACAAACCCCTCACCTCATTAGCCACATAACTAACTCCCACTCACTGCCCTGGCTCACATTTTCCTCCCGTGGCTGGAGCTGCCATCTTGTGTAAGACATCCCTATTCTTGACTCGCAGCCTGCATCTCCCTGTCGATCATTCTGCACCCCTCTAGCCACTTCTTGGACTTCATCCTTCTCTCAGCCCACAGGCTCCTTTCTTCAGTCCCAGCCTCACCCTTTGACAAACCCCTCACCTCATTAGCCACATAACTAACTCCCACTCACTGCCCTGGCTCACATTTTCCTCCCGTGGCTGGAGCTGCCATCTTGTGTAAGACATTCCCAGAAACCATCTTCCTGCTTCCCCACCCTTGGGCCCAGCCCCAGACCTGCTCTGCCGCCCTGCTTTGACATGTCCACCTTCTTCGGCCTCTACCTCTGGGCACAGCTTTTTGTCTGTGGGGCCATGACCCTTCCTGACTTTTGTAGCTGTTAGGGTTTTTTGTTGTTATTGTTATTCTCAGGTTTCCTCTTAAAAAATTGAGTTTAGAAAAGATGAGTTGGTTGAAATACCTAAAGTGGTTCTTGGATATAAGAGCTGTGTAAAGGTAAAAAGTGAATGGTAAGTTTGAGAAACACTGGCTTAGACTCTTCAAGCAGCATCTTTTTTAAAAAAATATTTTTATTGATTTCAGAAAAGAATTTGGGCCCAGCCCCAGACCTACTCTGCTGCCCTGCTTTGACATGTCCACCTTCTTTGGCCTCTATCTCTGGGCACAGCTTTTTGTCTGTGGGGCCATGACCCTTCCTGACTTTTGTAGCTGTTAGGGTTTTTTGTTGTTATTGTTATTCTCAGGTTTCCTCTTAAAAAATTGAGTTTAGAAAAGATGAGTTGGTTGAAATACCTAAAGTGGTTCTTGGATATAACAGCTGTGTAAAGGTAAAAAGTGAATGGTAAGTTTGAGAAACACTGGCTTAGACTCTTCAAGCAGCATCTTTTTTAAAAAAATATTTTTATTGATTTCAGAAAAGAAGGGAGAGAGAGAGAAACATCAAGGATGTGAGAGAATCATTGATTGGCTGCCTCCTGCATACCCCACACTAGGGATCCAGCCCGCAACTTGGGCATGTGCCCTGACCGGGAATCAGTTCGCAGGTCGACACGACCACTGAGCCACATCAGCCGTGCTTCAAGCAGCATCTTAATTTATATCTCTTCCTCTGCTTCACCCACAGCCCATCTCAACTCTGATTTATAGAGGCATGATGAGCGAGCCTTGCAAGCCAGTTCACCTGGGTTTGATTGACTCTTATGAGCTGTGACCTTAATAAGCTGGGTTACTGAACCTCTGTTTCCCCATTAGTTGAAGCGGGTACTTACAGAGCCTTCATCACAGGGCTGCAACAATTAAAAATCAGTTGTATGAGAATTAAGTACAGGCTGCTACTATTACTATAAAGCAGACCATGCCAAACCCTTCTTTAAAAATAAGCCCTTTAGAGTTCCCTCTTGCTAAAAAGATAAAGTACGGGGCCTTTGTGGTTTTTTATGTCATGTTTTCCTTCCCAGCGTACCTCTTGCCACCCTCTCCCAGGCATCCTGAGTGTCTAATCTAATTGTTTGACCCCTAAACATGCAGAGGGCCTCTCTCCATGCCTTTGTATTTCCTATCTGCTCAGAATATCATTTCCCCTCTGCTGCTCTCTTTTTTAAGTAGGTGTTTTATTTTTCAATTACAGTTTGCATTCAATATTGTGTATTAGTTTCAGGTGTGCAGCATAATGGTTAGACAAATTACTATAAAGCAGACCATGCCAAACCCTTCTTTAAAAATAAGCCCTTTAGAGTTCCCTCTTGCTAAAAAGATAAAGTACGGGGCCTTTGTGGTTTTTTATGTCATGTTTTCCTTCCCAGCGTACCTCTTGCCACCCTCTCCCAGGCATCCTGAGTGTCTAATCTAATTGTTTGACCCCTAAACATGCAGAGGGCCTCTCTCCATGCCTTTGTATTTCCTATCTGCTCAGAATATCATTTCCCCTCTGCTGCTCTCTTTTTTAAGTAGGTGTTTTATTTTTCAATTACAGTTTGCATTCAATATTGTATATTAGTTTCAGGTGTGCAGCATAATGGTTAGACAATCATATACTTTACAAAGTGTTCCCCCTGATATTTCCAGTACCCACCTGGCCCCATATATAGTTATTACAATATTATTGACTATATTCTGTACACTGTACTCTACATCCCTGTGACTATTTTGTAACTACCAATCTGTATTTCTCCATCCTTTTACCTTTTTCACCCAGTCCTCCAACCGCCTCCCCGCTGGCAAGCATCCGTCTATTTTCTCTGTCTCTGAGTCTGTTTCTGTTTTGTTTGTTTATATTGTTACGCTGGTCTTTTTTCCAGTGAAGCCAATCAGAAAAAGATCCAACTTTATGGGGGCAAGATGACAACCTGCCAAGTATGGTTGCCTGGGTCTCGGTTTAAGAGTGTGGACTAGGTGATACAAAGATTTAGTTAATTCTTAGGGTCTTTTGAAATTAAAATTGAAATAATTTGCATCTAGAAGTGGAAACACCTCTCCACCTTTCACCTCATGTGCTAGTATTGTCCTGGAAAGCAATCTGCTACATTGACTCACACTTCATATTCACCTACTTCTTCCAAGATCTTAAAAACAGATTTTCCTGAGAGGAAGTATATACTGTTTTATTGCTGCCGTAACGTTACCACAAACATAGTGGCTTAGAAAAAAAAGTTTGTTACCTTACCGTTCTAGAAGTCAGAAATCCCAAATTCAAGATGTTGCCAGGGTTGCTGGGAAGCTCTAGGAGAGAATCTGTCTAGCTTGCAGTGGTTCTCAACCTTCTGGCCCTTTAAATACAGTTCCTCATGTTGTGACCCAACCATAAAATTATTTTCGTTGCTACTTCATAACTGTAATGTTGCTACTGTTATGAATCGTAATGTAAATATCTGATATGCAGGATGGTCTTAGGCGACCCCTGTGAAAGGGTCGTTCGACCGCCAAAGGGGTCGCGACCCACAGCTTGAGAACCGCTGTCTAGGGGCTGCCTGCATCCCTCACTTGTGGCCCCTCCCTCCATCTTCAAGGCCAGCTGTGGAGCATCTTCAGATCTCTCTCACCTCTGCTTCCATCATCACATCTCTTTGCATCTCACTGTGGTCCTCCTGCCTCCCTCTTACAGAGATCCTTGTGATGACAGTGGGCCCACCTGGATAATCCAGGACAATCTCTCCACCTCAAGAACCTTAATCACACCTGCAAAGTCCCTTTTGCCATGGAAGGTAACATTCCCGACCTCAGGAACAGGGGCATCTTTGAAGGCCCATTATCTAGCCGACCACAACTGTAAGGATCATTAACCTAATAAAAATTCCCTCAATCAACTTTAGTGCCCCCAAATTATAGCTTGGCTATGTTAATGAATCCCAAGTTAAGATCTATATTGAACATCTACTGTTATTAATTACTAAAGGAGTGGTTCTCACACTTTAATGTGCCAGAATCACCTGGAAAACTTGTTCAGGTAGATTTCGGGGCCCATCCCATAGTTTCTGATTCAGAATTCCCAGATCAGGGATGGGCCTCAAGAATTTGCATTTCTAACAAGTTTCCAGCTGCTGTTGCTGGGTGAGAAACAACCCCACCAAAACAGGAAGTGGATTTTACAAATAGTAATAAGTTCCCCAAAGGGATGGTAGTGAGGAGCTCTGGCGACCTGTTGGGAAGTTGATGCATGGAAATGCATAATTTATTCTTCAAATATATTATTTATTCCACAAAGTCCTTAGTGAAGCTGGCTATTTTGGTAAAATGTATTCTAACTCTTAAGTGATTGATTTCTGTGGAGATGTGTGATGACAGATTGGCAACTACTTAAAGAAACATCTATTATTAGCACATTATTTTAAAAAACCCAATGGGGAAATAGTAATTATATGCCTCTTTGCAATAAGATCTAGAATGAAAAAAGAAAAAGAGGCAAATTAGCTTTAATTGCACTATTATATTCACACAAATCATATCTTGCTTCAATATTTATTTTATGGCAAAATAGACTATTATGTATGTTTTTCACATATATTAGCACATTATTTTAAAAAACCCAATGGGGAAATAGTAATTATATGCCTCTTTGCAATAAGATCTAGAATGAAAAAAAAAAGAGGCAAATTAGCTTTAATTGCACTATTCACACAAATCATATCTTGCTTCAATATTTATTTTATGGCAAAATAGACTATTATGTATGTTTTTCACATATATTATATTCAGTTGTTTAAATTCATTTGCCCATTAAATGTACACACTTTTACAAACCAATGACAGTTTAGAAGAATTAAGCTCGGATTATACATTTTTACATTATTTATCACCAAACAGTACACCATATAAAATTGCTTTTTGAACTATAAAATAATACAACTATTTATAGTACCATTTCAAAAAGGTAAAATTTTCAGTGCATTGCTTGAATTACAGGGTGACTTTCTAAGAAAATGTATTCATATAAATTTTCTCCAAATTTTGGGTTTATTTCTTAGGCCTATTAAGTCATATTAACCTCTGTTTGAATTTTTAAATACACTTGCTAGTATCTAAATGTTTATTTTTAAATTATGCTTTGCTAAATTTACTGTGGGTTGGGGTAAGATTGCTTCAGCTACTAACAACTCAGAAACATACAACAAATTCCTGGTTACAGAGTAATTCTTCATCTGAACTAAATAGCATCAATTATATTCAGAATATCTCCCTCTATTAAGCACAATACAGTGAAACATTGAAGTGTTTTATAGAAAAATATTTAACATTTGCATGATAAAAATCTAAGTATTTTATATTTTGATATAAAAAATTACTTGAGAATACAGTAAAAAGGAAAAATCTATTTCAGTGGCCCAATAACAATCAATCTTTTGAGAAAGGTTTGACTGTGTATCCAAGTTTCTTAAAAGTCTTAATATATTAACAAATATTTTCCCCTCGTTTTCAGTGTGTTAGAATTTGAGTATACTGATAATTGTATAATAGCTCAATTTTAAAATAAGAAATGACATTGCTTACTTTCAATATAGAACTAAAAAAATCTAATATGGAGACGGTTTAACTGACATTAACAGAAATTTTTCAAAAACATTAAGAAACATCCCTATACAATAACTACTTCAATTTCTCTGTTGTGCCATAAAACCAAACTATGCAAACACACCCATTAGAGGTCTACCAATCTAAAAGTTATTACAAATTTTTTTTTTCTTTTACCTTTTTGTTTAACTCATGTGGGCTTAAGAGTTTTGTATTATTTTTCATCTTGGTCTGGAAGTAAGTTTTTCTCCTCTGGAGAACATTCACTTTTTTTAGGCTATTTGTTGGACTGAACCATTATTGAACCTGTATTACTCCAGTAAAACTACAAAACCATTAGACCCTTTCAGGAGACTTAACTATAAGATTAAATTACTATGTTTCAATAATTATTACTATAAAATAAGTCACCCAAATCTGTCTCATTCAATGGTCCAATAATTTAAGTGATTTCTAATAAACTTCTAGGATAAAAAATCTGGACAGTTTCTTAGCATTTATGACAGCAGTTTGACCTGCAATATTTGCACTCTTAGGAAAAATGAGTGACTGAGCATACATTCCCCACTTACTTGGTTCACTTTTTCTCAGCTGATACATGAGCAGATAGAAATGGAAAGCCAGTTATCATTAACTCTGTATTAGTTTCATCAACAACCTACCCAAAAAATTGAACACTGACAGACTCATGTTAGGACTAACTCAGGTAATCCAACCCTCTGAATTTCTCTGGTGGTATAGACCTGTTCGTAAAGGTGAGTACTGTAGATTTTTTTCTCCAAGCTTTTACAGTGTGAATTTAAAATACACATTCACACTTAAAATGTCAATAGTGACAATTGAAATAAAGTTCTGGTCTTTTTACACAGTTTAAAAACTACCTACCAGTCCAGTTAAAATTGCAAATTTATTGCACTGGGATCGTGCACAGCTATAGCCAGGGTGGGTACAACCACATCACAGATTCAGAGCCAATGGGTCTTAGAGATTTCAAATGGGCCTTTTGTCTGGCACACCACAAAGTCATTTAACAGAAATTAAGGGATAATGATCACAAAATTTACCTAACTAATAAGTAATTGTCAAAAACTTGGAATCGCATGTCAGCCATACTGTTCTACAGTCAGTTCAAACACAATTATTCCTTTTTTATCATTCATTTGTACTTATTTATAATATAAAAATATAATTTAAAATTAGTGTATATATGTATGGTTACTCTTTCCTAACCCATCAACATATTGGAGACAGTTTAGATTTACTCTACTTTTTGAAAACTAAGTATTTTAATTTCTCAAATATATTGAGGTGACTTAAGCATCTTTGGAAATAAGATGTGCAGCCAGACCCTAATTTACATACACGTGACCTGGAGATGCCCTTTACATGGGAATACTGCCTTGGAACTGCTGCTTCCTCAGCTGGGTGCTGTACCGTAAGCTTCCTCCTTGGCCCACCTCCACTTCCCATTTCATGCTAGTGACAATCCAAAGAATATGTGAGTGGAAACAGGAAAGCTAGGGCCTGTATTGCCAATTTATCCGCCTTCACCCCTGCCCCACCTCACAGCCAGTTACCTGGTGGCATCCCTGCTCCACTCATCATATGTCCCATTCTGTTCCTTACCCTTCATGCGCCACTCAAGGTTCTGAACAAACAATGGGATATTCACGTATGAATATCGTAGGTCCCTCATGAGTCACTGATCATGCTGCCTTCGATTGCTTGCTGAGGTGAGGCTCAGTCCCACTACCAAGCAGACACAGAGAACCCCTTCTCTGTTTTCACCACCAGGGAGCAGCAGGGGGAAACTGCTGTATATTTTTCTTGGAGTACTGACTGTGGTCACGGGACTCTGTACCACTGCTTCCCATTCAGAGCCGCTGTAGTTAAAATTCTCTTGAGGACAAACCAAGAGAGTTAACACTCACTTCAAGTATTGTTCATAAGGGGAAAGATTACTACATCTCAATAACTCAACATACATCTGAACTTCGAGGGCATAGTCTTTATTTGGGAACTGCCTGTAGTGATGTACAGAAAATGACGCCACCTTAATCCAAGGACCACTTCGCAAGTTCTCTAAAATTCTCTCTCCACCCACCCTCCCCAAACACACACCAACTTTAAACAACCGGACTTTCTGATCTTTCCTCATTTTTTGCCAATTGTAGACACAAGGGTAAATAGAACCCTTACCTCTAGGAATTTGAAAAACTCGTGTTCTTTTGAGAAACATTTATTTTCCCAGGCAAATTCCTAATGTACCATTTCCTCTATTTTCGAAATGTACTCCTCAGCTCAAAAAAGAGCCCACTCCAATTTGGATTTTTTTAAAATAAACTTTAAACTGGGAAGAGATCGTATTAGCTTGTTCCACATGAAATCTTGATGGAAGCAAATCTCCTAAATTTATAACCAGAGTTCCTTTTGAAAAACACCTTCTAGTCTGATTTTTAAAATGATTTACAGTAAATGCTGTCTTATTTCCATCTGTTCATGCAAATCTCCATTAAATCTGCGTTTACATTGCAGCTGACCTCCAGCTTTAGATTTTAATACGTGTAAAGTTTTATATATAACATATATATTTAAATTTTCTTAAAATTACAAACATTAACACATGAACCCATTTGAAATGACTTTTCTCCCAATGATGAAAGCTTGGCCATGCCGTCGTCACTCCGTCCTACAACCCGACACCATCCTCCGTGTTTCTGCCCAGACCTTGCTTCTTCTGGAAGATTCTAAGGAAGCACAGGTATAGCTTCTGTTTTAATCCTGCCAAAAGGTTTAAAAGGCAAAATCCTAGGGCTTTCCAAATGCTTCACAGTAGATGTTCCAGAAAAAAGTAATGATAATGACTGCAATGAACATTCCAAGTGATATTCTAACTAACCAGGAAAAGTGATGCCAGAGGTGCCAAAACGGACCACGGAGAAGCCCTCATTTGTAACCTACTTTTGTAGAAATGTACATTTTGGTAATTTTGATTTGAAATTAACAATATCAAGGCACTAAAAGACACGAAGATACTGAAGCAGTGCCTAATTTTGGCAGACAATAACACCCTCAGTTCAGAAGGGGTAAGCTATGAAACCTCAATGTTTTCGAGTTCGCTCTTGAAAATCACATTGTATCAGAGTCTATAATTGAGATTTATTTTTATTCAGAAATACTTTCATATTCACTAGCTATAATGAAAAATTTAAAAATTCAAAAGGGACAAAAGGTTACATGGTCTTAGAAGCTATGTCAAACATGCAACATCGTAAGCGTGACATTCAAACTGCAATTCGGCCCTCATACTTTCTTATTCTCAAATTATGACAACAGGAACACAAACATACCATATATTACTCTTCTGATTTTGACTTACGTTATGTTCTTATCAGTGAGACACTTTAAAATATTTCAACCTGACAGAAAAGCATTTTTTAAAAACCTACCATGGAAGAAAAAACATCATCAGAAACACTCCTGTCTTTTACATGGTGTGGAGGTGGGAAATATCACCATAAAAAAAGGTTTCATCCATTCTTCTGCAGAGCTCTTTCTGAATATTTACCCTTAGGTCTACTGCTCTTTAAACAGGACTCTCAAAAACAATGTCAGATTTAAAATTAATATTTTGTTCCTACGTGACAAATGTGCTCACTTCCAATATTCCTTTCCACTAACATCTTCGGAATTTTCCTCGTACATGGTTGCTTTCTGGGTCACTCAGAGTTAGGCAGATCCACGCTGTATGAAGGAAACCTGTCCCACAGCTGATAATACATACTCAGTGGTCACAATAGTGAGTTAAACTGCTTTAGGAGTTAACACTGGGACTGGAAACACCCCTAGGATATTGAATTTTGGGGAAATAGCCCTAGATTGAACAATTTGGAAACTGTATTTTGGAGAAGCAGCCTCAGAAAAAGGAAGAAAGGGACGGCTCCTCGGCTGAACGTACCAATGAGTCCTTACCTACTCAACTCCCACTGTGACCAGGCCACCCTCGCCTGGGCCAAGGGTGACACTCTCCCCCTAGTCAGCCTTGTTCTGCCCACTGCGGTGGGGGAGGGGTAACTAAGAGGCTAAAATTGTCCTCAGGGGTGAAGTCAGGGGGTAGGGAAGCTAAATCTCAAGGACCTCTTGAACACCAAGTGACCTCTGCTAGTCCCACAAGTTTGGGCTGTGGTCTTGGGAGATGACGTAAAACTATTACTAACTCTTCTTTCAACCAAAAGAAAAGGAAGCTTCTTGAAGGCTCCTTTCCATGATAATATTAACTTGATTGTATTTGTTAAAAAAGAATAGAGGTTGGGGTGGAAGAACTCCAAGGGAACCCAAGTGATCTCTGACACTGACAGGCCTGGAGTTGCCTGGGGATTCCCATCTCTGGGGGGTCAGCCCCACACTCCCAGGCTCCCCCTCTCCATCCCATCACTGCAGTCTGAGGATAGATAATACTGCGTTTTTGTAAAAACAAAGGCATCTTGCATTTGCCATCCTGCACGGACACTACACGTACTCGTGTCCCAGGCACCTACATACTCTTACACCTGACCTCTTCCAAAACTCCTTCGGAACAACGTCCCCTGCTCGTGTTAGCGTTTCATCTGTAAAGCAGCACACGTAGTCTAACTCAGGTTTATTGTTTTTAACCAAGAAAAAGTGCTTAAACCCAACCTGCACAATTTCACTTCATTTTCAACCAATAAAATCAAACTCATTTAGGTTTATGAATAATACTGAGAAAAAAAACAACAGTGAATCTGATTGTTCTCTTCCATTTTAAAATGATGTGCCTTCATTCACAGCTTTCCCTTAACTGATTCGTTTCCGTACCTTAATGAGTCAAAGTCTGATTTGGAAAATATAGAAGGTAAAAAATATATGAATTTTTAGGATAAAAAATGTTTCTGAATATAATAATGCTTTCTTCATGTTTCAAAATAACACTTGTAAATCCTTCTTGTAGTTTGGATTTGGTAACTAAACTGTTAAGTACCCAAGGTTTTTTAAAAATATCAAAAGATAATAACATGGTTTTAAATACAAAGTTACAAAGGAACCACTCATATTTGTGGATTATCTCCACAGAAAAGTTCAGTTTCTCAGCAAGAAAACCCCCAAATATTTTAGTCATGAAATAAAATTCCATTAGCAAAAACTTGTTTAAGATAAAAATCTATGCCTGTTAATGATTGCCAGAGTTGCCCAGCATAGCTTCAGTAAAATACAGAATTGTCTAGAAAACACAGTCTCCAAAAATGTGTGCAAGTGCTGCAAATCGGACAGACCGGGCAGGGCCACTCCCTGGACACCAAGTCCTCCATCTCTAGCATCGTCCCAGGTGAAGTCCCCTGCAGCCTTCACGCTCCCTCAGTGCCGGCATCCACACCGCCCTTACTTCCCAGTGAGCCTTCTGCGCAGACGAGTGTCGAGGGGTGAATGTGAGTCAGGCGGGCCCTGTTCTGACTGTAAACGCTTCACATGGGCGGGTCCCCTTCGGCAGCCGCGGGAGCTTATATGAGCCTGGAGCTTTTCAGGAACTGGATGAGAACTCTGTACACGAACGTGTACTGGATCAGGGTCTGCACCAGCATCATTCTCTGCTGCCTCAGCTTGTCCAGCACCCGTGGGATGTCGAGCACCTAGATTGAGAGACGCAGCGGTGAGGGGAATGCACTCCCCCAGAGAGAGAAGGGGGCCGGGTGTGTGGGGGTCCTAGCGCAAATCTCGTTAGGAGATGGTCAACCTCCTAACTCGTCTACCCGGGCATCTTCTACCAAAATAACACGCAAATAAACAAGAGAACCCAAGGACCGTTCGGCTCTCTAAGAAGCACACCATGGCGGTCGGCAAGAACAAATGCCCTATGAAAGGCGGCAACAAGGGGGGCCAAGGAGAAAGTGGTTGATCCATTTACTATGGAAGATGGGTGTGATATGAAAGCACCAGCCTTGTTCAATACAGGAAATATTGGTAAAAACTAGCCACAAGAACTCAAGGAACCAAACTTGCATCTGATGGCCTCAAGGGTCGTGTTGTTGAAGTGAGCCCCGCAGACCTGCAGAATCATGAAGCTGCATTTAGAACATCCAAGCTAATTACTGAGGATGTGCAGGGCAAACCCTGTCTAATTTCTATGGCATGGATCTTACATGGAGACAGAATGTGCTGCCTGGTCACACAATGGCAGACCATGACTGAAGCTCATGTTTTGTCAAGGCTACTGATGGTTATTTGCTTCGTCCATTCTGTGTTGGTTTTACTAAAAAAATGCAACAACCAAATTCGGATGACCTCTTACGCTCAGCAGCAACAGGTCTGCCAAATCCGGAAGATGATGGAAATCATGACCTGATAGGTGCCGACAGATGACAGGAAAGAAGTGGTCCATAAACCGATTCCATTGGAAAAGACACAGAAAAGCTGGCCAATCTATTAATCTGCTCCCCAATGTCTGTGTTAGAAAAGTCAACATGCAAGAAGCCCACGCTCGATCTGGGAGAACTCATGGAGCTGCACGGGGAAGGTTGCAGCTCTGGGAGAGCAACGGGGGCTGAGACAGGCGCTCAAGGAGAACGAGCTGATGCCTATGGGCACCCAGGCCAAGGATCCCACTTGCGCCCAGCCCAGCCTAGCGTGACTCAGTGGTTGAGCATCGACCTATTGAACCAGGAGGTCACAGTTTGATTCCCAGGAGGCAGCCGATTGATGATTCTTTCTCATCATTTTTTAAAAATATTTTTCATTGATTTCAGAGAGGGAGGGAAAGGGAGAGAGAAATAGAAACATCAATGATGAGAGAGAATCATCGATTGGCTGCCTCCTGCATGCCCCCTACTGGGGATCAAGCCTGCAACCCAGGCATGTGCCCTTGACCAGAATCAAACCCGGGACCCTTCAGCCCGCAGGCCACTGATGCTCTATCCACTGAGCCAAACCAGCTAGGACTCTCTCATCATTGATGTTTCTATCTCTCTCTCCCTCTCCCTTCCTTTCTGAAATAAAAAAATATATATTTTTTTTAAATCAATAAAAATAAAATTCAGACTTTTATCTGTGACAAATAAAAAAAATTCCTACTTGCGGGGGAAAAACACACACCAAGGAACCTCGTTCAGAAAGGGCTGTTAGATAACGAGGTCCCTCTCTTCCCGGACCTGCGCCTCGCCCACCTCTCCCCACGCCAAAAACAAAGGAAATAAGCACCTCGTTGTGCTCCAGGCAGGCGATCATGATCTCGGACAAGATGACGACGCCGGTCCTCCCCACCCCCGCACTGCAGTGGACCAGCAGCGGGGGGTTGGGGCCTTTGGGTTCACTCGTGCTGTTTGTGTGGCGTCGGACAGACTGGATCTCCTCAAGGTATGCTGTGAAGTATCAATGAGACAGAAACACTCTCAGGGTTTAAGGCATTATCACATCAACAGTCTGCAGATCATCTCCACTGATGGGGAGGACTCCAGACGAGCACAGGGCGCCAGTTAGCGGCCCAACCACTGACTGACAGTGCGGTCTCGGTGAGTCTCGGACTCCACCTGGCCTCCCGTTTTCTCATCTACGCAACCAAAGGGAGGAAAAACTCCCCAAGACTCATTCACCGCATTTTACTCACTACCACGTTATACTTCAAAAACTTCTTTTAGCCCGATGGCGTGGCTTAATGGTTGAGGTCATGGTTCGATTCCTGGTCAGGGCATATGCCCAGGATGCGGGCTCGATCCCCAGTGTGGGGCTCGCAGGAGGCAGCCAATCAATGATTCTCTCTCATCATTGATCTATCTCTCTCCCACTCTCCCTTCCTCTCTGAAATCAATAAAAGTAAAAAAAATAAAAAAAGTAAAAACTTCTGCCAAGCCTCCCCTTAAACACTTAAAATCTTTATTTTAAAACAAGCCCAGAGTGAATACGAGACAACATAAAGGAACTATTTCAGGAACATGAGCCAAGGCATTATCACATCAACAGTCTGCAGATCATCTCCACTGATGGGGAGGACTCCAGATGAGCACAGGGCGCCAGTTGGCGGCCCAACCACTGACTGACAGTGCGGTCTTGGTGAGTCTCGGACTCCACCTGGCCTCCCGTTTTCTCGTCTACGAAACCAAAGGGAGGAAAAACTCCCCAAGACTCATTCACTGCGTTTTACTCACTACCACATTATACTTCAAAAACTTCTTTTTGCCGATGGCGTGGCTCAATGGTCGAGGTCATGGTTCGATTCCAGGTCAGGGCCTATGCCCAGGATGCGGGCTCGATCCCCAGTGTGGGGCTCGCAGGAGGCAGCCAATCAATGATTCTCTCTCATCATTGATCTTTCTATCTCTCTCCCACTCTCTCCCTTCCTCTCTGAGATCAATAAAAGTAAAAAAAAATAAAAAATAAAGAGTAAAAACTTCTGCCAAGCCTCCCCTTAAACACTTAAAATCTTTATTTTAAAACAAGCCCAGAGTGAATACGAGACAACATAAAGGAACTATTTCAGGAACATGAGCCTTCCTCTCCGCGGCTGATGTCAGAGCCCCAGCAGGGGCTGTGCTGGGAGCGGGGACACTTACACAGAAACCCCTTGAGGTCCTCGGGGCAGCCGTGCTCCGGCCAGTCCGTGTACTGCAGGTGCCAGACCGTCCTCTCCTGCCCCGTGAGCAGGTGCTTCATCTTCAGGCCGGTGGTGGCGTAGCAGCCCGAGTCTGTGCGGAACCGGGTGGTGATCTTGAACCTTCCGTAGGTGACGGTGTTGTGCCGGGAACCAAGGCGTGGCCAGTACCTAAAGCTCTTCTCCCTTCCGCCCTCCTGTTACAGACGCAGGCGCGGACAGTCAAGACACAGCGCAAGGCCCCGCAATACAAGCCCCTTTACACACACAGACAGCACGTCGAGACGCAGAATCGCTCTCCCAACCTGCCCCTCTCTCTGAGCGTCAGGATCCCCACAGGACTGACGATAACTTCTCATCTGAGACGGAGCAAACCGATGGAGAGAAATGAGCACGTACCTCTTCCGCTGTCACCATCGCTATAATGGCAATTCCCTGCTCCCACACCATCTGCCAAAAGTCCTGACAGGTGTTCTGCAGCGGGCCCTGCGTGGCGATATAGTCCCATTCCATCCCACTGACAGATACCTGGGATGAGGAAAGGTTAAAAATGAATGTGTATGTCATGTAGGTACACAGGCATGTATATACATTTGTTTGTGGTAATACTAAAAAGTGAACTAAACTATTCAGAATAGAGAAAGGCTTTCATGTTATTCTTTTTCCCTGTTAGTACAATTTCCACTATTGACATCTTTATAAACTTACTCACTATGAGTTCACGTAATATCTATGCGACCTGGGGCAATTTGCTTACCCTCTCTGAATCTTAGTTCTCAAGTTAAAATAAAAATATTGCCTGCCGCCCGGCCGGTGTGGCTCAGTGGTTGAACATCGACCTATAAACCAGGAGGTCACGATTCAATTCCTGGTTCAGGGCACATGCCTGGGTTGCAGGCTCGATACCCTGTAGGGGGTGTGCAGGAGGCAGCCGGTCAATGATTCTCTTCATCATTGATGTTTCTATCTCTCTCTCCCTCTCCCTTCCTCTCTGAAATCAATAAAAATATATTAAAATATATGTATATGTATATGCATATGCGTATGTATATATGTATATGCATATGTATATATGTATTGTTTGCCCTCATAGGGTTGTTGTCAGAACTGAGTCAAGGGGACTCTTTCCCCCTCCCCACATGGGCGTCTGTACTTGTTCTTCAATAAATTTCCACCTTTACTATTAAAAAAGAAGGAAGGGAGGGAGGAAAGGAAAGGGAAAGGAATAAAAAAAAAAGAAAGAAAGAACTGAGTCCATGCACACACATGGTGCCTTGACCATGCCTGGTGCTCACTGAGTAGTCGTTATTGCCGCTGCTGCTATGCTTCTTCTCCTAAACGCAATATCAACATCCCAGTACCCCAACTTTCAAACACAATTTCCCCTCGTGAAGAACTACACACACTGGGAAAAGTAAGCGCAACTAAGCCAAAACCCAAGTTAAATGTCCAATTTCTAGGGGAAAATAATCTTCCTGCTTCAGGAAGTCTCACCTCTGGCCTTCTGAGCCAAATCACCCTCCATCGTGACACTAAGCTTCCACCTAAGATTCAGCCTCCTGGAGAAAGGTCTAAATAATAATCACCGTGGTCGGGATTTGTAGTCAGGAGACCGGGGTTAGAGCTCAGCGGCACTGATTCTCAGTGACCACCGCGCCTTCTCTCAGTGCCACTCAGCGTAAAACCCTGTGCAAGCATACTCCGCCCACGCTCTCGCTAAGGCCACCCGTCCCTGGTCACAACCCGCATCCGCTCACCGAGCGCCCACTCAGGGGCAGGCACCGTGGGCAGAGGGGTGGAGCGGGGAGGGCAACGGTTACACAGCAAACAAGAACTAATGAGGAAGAGTCTGATGGGGAACCTCGGGGGAAGGTGCCAGCATTTCTTTACCCAGATAAGTACCACGAGGTCCCACACGGGAGAGTCTGTCCCATAATTCTGAGCTCAGCCTTTCCCCCTCTTCCTCAGGTCGCCTCTGGAGAGTCTGAAATGTCGCTATAGAACTATGACATCACTCCGCTCTTACCCACCCAAACAGGAGAGGCTGGGTGAGTTATTCCAAAGAAAGGCTCGCCTTTTAAGCAGACTGTGCCCACCTACTAAGAAGCACGTGCACAGATACCCAACCAAGGGTGTGCCGCTCGCAGGCAGACCGCCGGGTCGCTGGAAAGCTGCACGTGTGGAACTGGTCTCCCCAAAGGTCACTTGCAAACTAAACAGAAGGTGGGAGGAAGGAAACAGCACCTGACCACAGACCCCGACTCATCACGCACCGGGAGGAAGTTTCTCCCTCCCGCAAAGGGGACGGACCCTCGCCGGCAGGAACGGGGTGCGAGTGACGGAGAAGACAGAGCAGCTGGCTCTCCCCACTCCCTACTGTGAGCTATCGCTGTTTCCATTTGTATGGGTGCAACGTGCTCCCCCAGTTAAATGACGTCTCACTCTTTCCAGGGAAAAGGTGGTGCTGCCTCTTCAAAGAACAAAACACTGTTTGAGAGTGATTGCGGGGAGTGTGCAAAGAGAGCAGACGGCACCATTGCAGGTAAAAGCTTTGGGGAAAACACTAAAAAAACCGGACACTTTTGTTACATAAAAATACGTAGGTTTGTCAGGAGGAAAAATCAGGTCTCGCTTATAGATTCTCTCAGGAGCAGCTGATGAAGTCTTCAGATTTAGGAAGACATAAAGTTCTGAAGTTGGGCAAGTCAGCGCTTTGAGTCCCGATTACACTGCTGGGGGCAGAGGGTTTAGCCCGTGGTCAGATCTAAGGTGACTCTGGCTCTGCTGATAAACACTACCTATCCGGCCTGGGCGTCTGGAATTCCCAGTTTACCACATAACACAGTTCTCACAGTGGATCAAAACCAGGGTGTTTTCAGAATGCAAGCACAAATGTTGTTCTAAGTCTTGTACTTGAACTCAGAACCTCACGTCTCCTTCACCGTTGCGAATGCTCCTCTCACCTTAATATGGGATGCGTTGATGTACCCGGTGTTGTTCTCTTTGGTTGGGACCAACTCCACTCTGGCATCGTCATAGGGAAGCACGTCCTGGAATCGGTTTCTTTCGGCATTTTCCGGGAGTCGTGCCGTTGAGCACTCCCCATCGACCAGCCGTTTTTTAAGGATTCTTTCATATTCTGTGAACACCATTCCCTGTTCCAACCGCTGTTCCAGAATTTTACACTGTAAGCGGAATGCGGGGGGACGACAGGAGTAAAGTCACAGGCACAGCTATACAGCGACTGTACAGCTGCTTCAGGTCTAGCATTACCTACTAGTGAAAATTCTAGTTGAAACCAGAGTTAAATTTTTACCAAGCCATAACAACAGCAAATGAAATAATCTTACTGATGAGAAATAAAGGCAAAAATGTTCCCTTTAGCCCTGGCTGGTTTGGCTCAGTGGATAGAGCATCAGCCTGCAGACTGAAAGGTCCTGGGTTCGATTCCAGTCAAGAGCACATGCCTGGGTTGTGGGCTCAGTCCCCAGTGTGGGGTGTGCAGGAGGCAGCCGATTGATGATTCTCTCTCATCACTGATGTTGCTCTCTCTTCCTCTCTGAAATCAATAAAAAAATATATATTTAAAAAAAAACACAAAAAACATTCTGTTTACAGGTGAAAAACTGGCCTAAAGCAATTTGTTGGATTCATTTTCTCTAATTTATGGTCAGTTTTGTGATCCCTACAAAACAGAAAATTCCCCGTGGAGATCAGTAAATCCTAGAGAAATCCTAGAGTAGGATCATTGATCCCAATATCAATGAACCAATGCTTCAATCTTATAACATATAATTATATAAAAAAAACTGTAAAAAGGGGTAAATGCTGGAAACCATCTCCAGGACCCAGTGGTAAACACATTAATTTTGCTTAGCGTGCTTCATGTCTACCGTGGTTGCCAAGGAAGTTTTGAAAGCTTCAGTAATCCTTTACTATGGAGATAATTTTCAGTGAAATAAAAGCAACATCTGCCCTCTTTCCTGTGTGTTCTCATAGGCATTTGCAGATCTCCTCTCTAACTTTAAAGCCATTAAAAACCAAGACTGCCACAGATGGCTGGAAGGAGGTAAAGAAAACATTCTAGCCTGAACTTATCCCTTAAGACATTAGCTATAAATCTGCCCCAAGTTTGAGGTCCAGATCACAGAATTCCTTAACACTCATTCATGATCCCTGCATGTGTTAGAAAATGCACTGGAATCCCAGGAAGCAGACGTGCAGCACGTTCCCAGCTCTCCCGGGGAGGGGACCGGCCCGCTGTACGTACCCTCTCATCATTGGTGGCTCTGGCTGACACGTCCTTCCCCTCGTCGGGCAGAGGCAGGCGAGACAGCGACAGTCCATTCAGGGCAGCTAGCTTGAGAGGGCCCATTTTTTTTGCATCTACTCGGCTCTTTTTCATTCCCTATAAAGATATTTATATGTATATGTGAAATAGACACAAGTGCAGCCCCTTGGAAGAGAAACTGGACTGCAGACTGGAAACAGACAGGAGAAATTGCGCTCCCTCAAACACACGCACACACGCTGGTTTAACAGATATTAGGAGGGTGACATTCCTTTCAAGGCCAAAGCCCTGATAAGTCGCCCAGATAGGTGGTTTTGAAATGCAGCCGGTTTCGGGGTTCTGTTGTAATGAAAGGTGAGGCTCCCGGCAGACAGCATTCCTGCACAGAACTCCCCAATTTCAACTCGGCACACCAAAAAATCAGCTGCTGTCCATATAAAGGGTTTTAAATACAATCATCTGATTGCAATTAGCTTTGATGATTTTTTAAAAATCTATAAATTAGTGCTTTAAATCATTCTGGAAAAAATGGAATGTTTTCTGCGGTAGCTTGCTGTTCTGTTCTGCAAGTCTGTTATGTTTCAGACTTGTGTGACCTCAGTTGGATCACCACACCTCTCAGAACCGCCACGTTTTTAAACCAGGAAAATCAAACAGGGCTGCAATCTCCATCACAATATTAGAAAGATTGGATATAAGAGAACACATCATCATATCCTGCTGATGTGGCTCAGTGGTTGAGCATCAACCCACACACAAAGAGGTCACCTCCCGGTCAGGGCACGTGCCCAGGGTTTCGAGCTCGATCCCCAGTAGGGGGCGTGCAGGAGGTAGCCCATCGATGTTGATGTTTCTCTCTCATTGATGTTTCTATCTCTCCCTCTCCCTTCCTCGATCCAAAACCAATAAAAATATATTTATAAAAGAGAGAGAGAGAGAGAGAGAGAGTACATCAACAGGAGGTCTCTCCTGAGAACAGGTGTTCCTAAACTTATTGTTCAAGTGAATGATTGTCTCTAAGGCAAATAAGCCTAAGAATGCTAAGTTTCCTTAGCTAGTCTACACCTCCTTGGAAGTCACAATTATCCTAACCACAGTAGCCCCAATTTTTAAAAAATGGTTTTCTCAGTTCTGTCTCATAAATGAAACCAGCTCTACCAGCCTGGGAGGTAGGGAGGAGGAGGGAGACGGGAACAGAGGGAGAGGGGGAGGCTAAAAGGTTCCTGTACAGGCGAAAATTTCATGATTCTAACGTGTGCAAAACACAGTGGTAGGCTGATACATGTTCAGCAACTGGCCCTCTGGCTTGGGGGGGGGGGGGGGTTCTGATTTGTAAAGTTTGCCAATTTCCCTGGTGCAAATACTCCCATCATGGCCTATTTTCAACTGTCAATGTAACACCAACGGAATCACAAGAGTCCTGAAGGTTTAACGGTCAGTTCTCACCAGCCAGGATGGGGTGGGTCAAGATGCCCTGGCTGGGATCAGCTGGAGGAAGATAATTTTCAGTGAAATAAAAGCAACGTCCGCCTTCTTTCCTGTGTGTTTGAAGGCCAGTGTTTGAAGAAAGGGGCAGATAGTCAAAAGCAGCCTCAAATACCCCTTTTAGCCCTGAGAGTACAAGCACGTGGCTTTAAACACCTGCAAGTGATTTCTTACGTGAGAACCACCACACAATACTAAGGTTGCAACGAAAAGAAAATCTTTATGCAGCTGCATGAGCACTCAAACCAGTCCACCTTTTCAGATAGCGATCAAGTCCCTGAGGTGGAGATGGGTGGAGAGTTCTAAAGTGATCCTGCTTGTCTGCAATTTATGTCACTGTTTTTAATCCTAAACCTCTATAACCTCAATGCACATTGCTCTGTGAGCTGAGTTTCTTGGTTGTAAGAGTTAAACAATACAATGGCAATAGGGCTGAGCTATTCAATTCTTGGGAAGCTGGTGAGTTAAATGTATGGTGCCACATCACAGTAATATGTTAAATCTGAGCACTTCCTGTGTGCCAGGAGCTCACTTTGTCCCCACAACAACTCTCTGGGCTCATCTTCCTTGACAAAAGAGAAAACTGAGTCAGAGAGATTAAAAAGCTTGCCCAAGGTCACACAGCTGCCTCTTTGTATAGAGCAGGGGTCCTCAAACTTTTTAAACAGGGGGCCAGTTCACTGTCCCTCAGACCGTTGGAGGGCCGGACTATAGTTTAAAAAAAAACTATGAACAAATTCCTATGCACACTGCATATATCTTATTTTGAAGTAAAAAAACAAAATGGGAACAAATACAATATTTGTATTTGCATGTGGCCCGCGGGCTGTAGTTTGAGGACCCCTGGTATAGAGAGATGTTAATCGGTTTCAAAACAATAAATATACCTTTCAATAAAGTCAGTTATTCTGCATATAGAATTCAGAAGCAATTTTCATGCCTATCCTTATGGAGAACTTCATGCCACAAGAGACAGAGCAGAGACGACTGCGTCTGTATGACAGACAGGGATGCTGAGGTTCTGGTACATGAGGGTCCAGACCACTGAGCAGAGAACTAATAAAAAAAAAAGGCAGGCTCTACCCAGGGCCGGTGTGGCTCAATGGTTGAGTGCTAACCTATGAACCAAGAAGTCATGGTTAGATCCCCAGTGTGGGGCGGGCAAGAGGCAGCTGATCAATGATTCTCTCTCATCACTGATGTTTCTCTCTCTCTCTCCCTCTATGAAATCAGTAAAAATATACTTTAAAAAAAAAAAAAAAGGCAGGGTCCAGACTCAGACCAGTTTCCCCACTATCTGGTCCTGTACATGTCCCCTGGCCCCAGCTCCCATCACGTTTTTCAAGTAAAGAGAATCCCTTATGGCAGTGGTCGGCAAACTGCGGCCCCTTGAGTGTGGCTCTTCCACAAAATACCACGTGCGGGCGCGCACGTACAGTGCGATTGAAACTTCGTGGCCACACTCAAGGGGCCAAAGAGCCGCATGTGGCTCGCGAGCCGCAGTTTGCCGACCACTGTGGGAAAAGAAGGGGAGCAAAAGCACAGCCAATCACATCGTTTTATTAAATTAATACTGTAGGTCTTAAAAGTCAATAAGAGAGAAAATCTGTGTTTTTAGGGAACCAAATTGGTTAAAATCCTCAGATATAGCAGGACCTGCTAGGCCCACTAAAAACGCACAGTGACAAGAGGCCTAACTACTGGACCACACTCAGATCAAGCATCGTCTGGGGAAAAGACTTGGGTCACATGGAAATGATGGGCAGGTCTTGATGTACTCAGGGGAGAGTAATAACTATGAAAGGGACTGTGCAGCTGGCTCAGGGGCCCCAGCAGGGTCGCTGGGGAAGACACATCCACCCCCTGCCCCATTCTGAGCCACTGACTATGAGCCCACACCTTCAGCCAACCTGAGGCAGGGGCCTGTACTGCACAGGTAGGTGAGTAAGAATGTGCTCTCCCCCCAGATTAAAAGTAAACTTAAATTATTCAAACCCAAAATTCATTAAAAGAAAACACAGCTAAAATTAAAAGAAATCCACAGCACGACCCTAAGTAGTTTTAACTTATGGATACTTATCTATTTCATAAGCACAATAACACAGGGGGAATTTTTTCCTATTTATGAAGATGCTTCCAGCATCTCAGAGGATCTGAAATACAAGGCCGGAACCACACTTGCGATGGGCCCCCATGTCTGAGTTTGCTGCCTGGCGGAGATGAGGAATCCTTGCTGCCAGGACACGGGAGCAATGTGAGACAGAATGGACAGGTCAGTGCATGCCTGTTGGCTGGGGGTGGAGGCCCAGGCAGTGAGGAGCGGCAAGGCCGGACCCACACTTGCGATGGGCCCCCATGTCCGAGTTTGCCGTCTGGCGGAGATGAGGAACCCTAGCTGCCAGGACAGGGGAGCAGTGAGACAGAATGGACAGGCCAGTGCATGGCTGTTGGCTGGGGGTGGAGGCCCAGGCAGTGAGGAGCGGAAGCCTGAGCGATGCAGCGAGACGTCTCAGAGTGGACACCCGGGCAGGCCAAGGCCACACAGGCTTGGCCAAAGCTTGGGGACTCAAAGTTAAAAGGTTTCCGTGGAAAGGCCGAGAACAGCGAGGCTTAGATAAGCGGTTATTACTTAACAAAACATTATATACAGTATAACTCGCCCGAGAACAGTGTAGCAGATAAGAGAACACGTTGCAGAGATAAACACGGGTTTAAAACTCCAGTTGGTCCCTCACTCGCTCTGCGACCTTGGAAAGCTACTTCCTATCTGAGTCTGCTTCCTCGCCCGCAGGAACAATGGGTCTGTTGTAGACCGGGCACGGTAAATGCTATGGAAAGGGCAGCTAGAGATGATGTTACGCTCTCTTATATTTTCCTTCCGATCGGTAAGGCGTGCTTAATCAGGGCATGGTTATTTATTATCGGGACTATTTTACTAGTAACCCTGCGTTTTCTACAAGGGACCTTCCTTGAGTTCTCAGTTCATCTTTCTTTCAAAGAGACCTGGAGCCTTCCTGACAAAGGGCCACCTTCCCAACCCCAGGTTCACGCTGCAGCCCTCAGGGATCACGGCCGACATCCGAAGCTGCATCCACACGTCCAGCACACGGACGCGTTAGGAACACTCCTCGGTGCGGACGCTGCTCTCGGACAGCCCAGGAGAAACCAGCAAACGGAACCAACGCGGCCGTGGCTGCTGCACCAGCACGGGGACTGCTAACAGGCGGCGGACAAAGCAATCTGGGCTCAGGTCACAAAACCTCAGCCCCCTTTCCGTTCACACTGCATGGCTGAAACGTTTCATTCATTCTTTCTACTCCATTCCACAGAGCTACCGAGATTAACATTTAACCTGTCTAACTATCTCTAGAAAAACCACTAAAATGTCATCAACCTCTATCACTTCCACAGATAATCAAATGTGTTCCAAATAAGTCAAAAACACAGTAAAGGGCAGAAGAGGGATCAAAAATGTTAAAAGAAAAAAAGCTGGAAACACCAAAAGTACTGAGCCAGAGCAGTGACTCCCGGAGCGTAGCAGGTGCTGCGAAACTGCAGGCTGGAGGGTGCTGAGCGGGGTGGCTGCGGCTCACCTGCACAGGGAACACTTACCCCTAACGGCGGAAGCCCTTCAACGATGTTCTTCTTGCCCGAGAGGAGGTCGGACACCGGCCTCTTCTTCAGAGAATCCCTCCTGGCCCGGTACCTCCCCGACGTGGTGAGGTCAGACTCGGACATGGAGGGCGTCAGCAGCCCGTCCCTCCGGGGCCGCTGGGCCTCCGCCGGCACATGCACGGGGCTGCCCTCCCTCCCCCTCCTCTCGGCCTCAGTGACATGGGCCTTGGGCTCGTGGATGTGCAGAGGGCCCGCGC